GAGTGTGCAGTGGAAGTTGGAGGCAGGGTAGTTAGACAGGACACTGGCAAGCTTTCCCAGGAAACGAAGAACCTAATTAGGAAGTGTCAAATCATGAAAGTCTCAAGTACAATAGACAAAATAGAACTGGCAGAGCTTTCGAAGTTGATTAATAGGCGTAAGGTATGCGATGTAAGAAGGTATAACATGGAGAGAATTGGACACGCTCTGAAAAACGGAGGAAGCGTCAAAGCAGTGAAGAGGAAACTTGGGATAGGCAAAAGTCGGATGTATGCACTAAGGGACAAAGAAGGCAAAATCACTACCAATATGGATAGGATAGTTAAAATAGCGGAGGAGTTTTACAGAGATCTGTACAGTAGCCGAGACAACCACGACCTTAATACTATAAAAACTAGCAGTAACCCAGATGACACCCCACCAGTAATGATAGAAGAACTCAGAATAGCTTTGGAGAGCATGCAAAGAGGCAAAGCTGCTGGTGAGGATCAGGTAACATCAGACCTGCTGAAATATGGAGGACAGATTGTGTTAGAAAAACTAGCCACCCTGTTTACGAGGTGTCTCCTGACGGGAAGGGTACCAGAGTCTTGGAAGAACGCTAACATCATCTTAATACATAAGAAAGGAGATGACAAGGACTTGAAGAATTACAGGCCAATCAGCTTGCTCTCTGTAGTATACAAGCTATTTACAAAGGTAATTGCTAACAGAGTAAAGAAAACATTAGAATTCAATCAACCAACGGAACAAGCAGGATTTAGAACAGGCTACTCAACAATTGACCACATTCATACTATCAATCAGGTTATAGAGAAATGCTCAGAGTATAACCAACCACTATACATAGCCTTCATAGATTACGAGAAGGCGTTTGATTCAGTAGAAATATCAGCCGTCATGCAGACACTGCGGAATCAGGGCGTAGATGAAGTATATATAAACATTCTGGAACAAATCTACAGGGGATCAACTGCTACCATAGTGCTTCATAAAGAAAGCAACAGAATACCAATCAAGAAGGGTGTAAGGCAGGGGGACACAATCTCCCCAATGCTATTTACCGCGTGCTTACAGGAGGTTTTCAGGAGCCTAGAATGGGAACAGTTAGGGATAAGAGTTAATGGAGAATACCTTAGTAACTTGCGCTTCGCCGATGACATTGCATTGCTGAGTAACTCGGGGGACGAATTGCAACTCATGATTACAGAGTTAGACAAGGAGACCAGAAAGGTGGGTCTTAAAATTAATCTGCAGAAAACGAAAGTAATGTACAACAACCTCGGAAACGAGTAGCGCTTCGAGATAGGTAATAGTGCACTTGAAGTTGTAAAAGACTATGTCTACTTATGGCAGGTAATAACCGCAGAGCCTAACCACGAGATTGAAGTAACTAGAAGAATAAGAATGGGGTGGAGCACATTTGGCAAGCACTCTCAAATTATGACAGGTAGATTGCCACTATCCCTCAAGAGGAAGGTATACAACAGCTGTATCTTGCCGGTACTTAGCTACGGAGCAGAAACCTGGAGACTTACAAAGAAGGTTCCGCTTAAATTGAGGACGACGCAGCGAGCAATGGAAAGAAAAATGGTAGGTATAACCTTAAGAGACAAGAAGAGAGCAGAGTGGATTAGGGGACAAACGGGGGTTAAGGATATCATAGTTGAAATAAAGAAGAGGAAATGGACATGGGCCGGGCATGTAGCGCGTAGACAGGATAACCGCTGGTCATTAAGGGTAACTAACTGGATTCCCAGAGAAGGGAAGCGGGTTAGGGGGAGACAGAAGGCTAGGTGGGCAGATGAGATTAAGAAGTTTGCGGGTATAAATTGGCAGCAGCAAGCACATGACCGGGTTAACTGGCGGAACATGGGAGAGGCCTTTGTCCTGCAGTGGACGTAGTCAGGCTGGTGATGATGATGATGATGATGATGATGATGATGACTAACACATACTACATCAAAGGGAGGAACGACACCACACCCTAAGGAGCGTCGCCCCTCATAATAGAACTGAGAACACGGAGCGTTTCGAATGCGCTGCAGGGGACGCTCTCACATCTTTCCCTTGAAAGACTCCAGGAATGCAGTCAAAAACGGCGCTTACTTGAAAAACAGTGTCGACTCACTTCGTGAGGAAAAATTGTAGTATAAAAATTCAAAAACGCAAGTACGAGTTATTTCGCGTGCACTCACGCACACAGAGAAGATGCACTCACGATTAGATGCACTCACGCACAGAGAGAAGAGGAGTGCTGCTGCGGCTGCGCACAAACACGCAAAAACTCCTGAAATAACACGCGCGCGCTTGTGCACGCAGCAGGCTCAGATACGCATAGGCGCGCGCAAGCCAAAAATGGCAGCATATCGACGGGGTGAATGATGGAGAGTGAGACGAAGCATCGGTCCGTCCATTCGTCATTGCTTCCGGCCGTTCATGCGTCCGTCTGTGTGACCATCCGTGCGTCCATCCGCCCGTCCGCGCGTGCGTCTGTTCGCAAATCCGCAAGTCCATCCGTACATCCGTCCCTGCGTTCATCCATGCATCCGCCCCTGCGTCTATCCATGCGTCCATCCGTCCGTGCAGCCCTCTGTGTGTCCGTCCATGCATCTGTCGGTGTGTCCGTTCGTCCATCTAGTCAACACTCCAAGTACAACCATCTCGCATCTTTTCATCATATATTCCGCATATAGGAGCACCGCCATCCAGCGGACATTCCAAGGACTAAACGAGAGGTGACACACGCACACTTTCTTATGGCTTGCACTTCGTGTCTACTTCTTTAACCACCTCGAGTTCATGGTATATAGTAGTCTACTGTATTCATGGCACTGCGGCCCAATGCTGCTAAACCTTTCTAAAACCAAGGAGGTTACGCCCAGCGAGTATAACGTAACAACCCTTTCTTGTCAGATAGGGCTCAATGCACATGCCATTGGCTGCTAATGGGGAATGAGAGACGGGAGGATTCGGCTTTTAGTGAACGCGCACGCTGCGAATTTCTTACTGTTCAACAACGCACAGGATAAATCTCCCACCGGCCCGCACCTTTCAGGTCAAAACGTAAGACTGGTTACGCACTACGACTAGGGACGAACGGGTGCCGCTTTATAAAGCTTCGCCCCTAAAATTGTAGGGATAGTAGCGATTGTAATGTGTCGCCGAGACAAAACATGCACTGAAAGTCGGTGAATAGCTTTTCAGAGGTGACGTCTTTAGGGTTTGGGTTTCTTCTTTTTGTTTTTGCTGCAAAAGCCGTTATTAAATCACAACAAGGGTCACCCGCGCACCGTATACAGTTGTCCGCCGCCACTGCCGGTGTCCGTAACTACTATCCCACAAAGTGAAAAAAAAAAGTAGGTAAAAAATTGGCCCCAATCTGCCTGTTACACTGCAAATTTCGTCGAAAGACGATAGTCTTGCTTCTGGAGAGAGTGAACAAAACGCTTATTTAATGTACTGCGCAAGAAAATTGGTGAATGGTATTATGGAGGCGCTCCGTTAGGGTGCCTCGAGCATGTAGCGGAGGCGAACGAGCGCATCGACGCACGTTAGACACGAGCGCCATCTGGCAGTTATCATTGAAAACGAAGGCGTGTGCGTCCGCGGAGAAAGATGCGCGCCAGTCTCGGAGGTTATAAGGTTTAGAGCGCAAAGCGACGGGCAGGTTGCACCGCCGCATCGTCGTAGCAAAAAAGCGTTGGAAGCATTTGCCTTTTTGAGCATTTCGTTGCACTGTTCACGCAGCGCGACAAACGCTACAGTCCTTAGAGTTACTTGTGTGTGCCTCTTCTAGTATAAAGGCAGACATACAAAACATCAACGTATTGTTATGGCGCCTCAGAAATGCGCAATAATTGCTTTTTAATTGACATTCACACAATTATGAAGTCAATATTGATGGGCGCTGCGGATGGGGTTGGCCGTTTAGTGCCGTTTGAGGTATCGATAAGGGTAGACAAATAGAAAAATGTATAGAAAGACAGACAGACAAAAATTTTCAGTCCAAGGTCGCCAAAAACACTATCGTCTTTAAAAACACCAAGGACACAATGGAATTCGGACCTGGGTCCCCTGCGTGCCAGCCCAGTGTTCTACCGCTGAGCTACGCCGGGGCTTGGAACTCCATGGCTAACTGACCCTGGCCAGCCTTCATGTCGGTGTTTGTAATATAGCGTCTAGAAGAGCAAAAAAAAAAACAACCAGGCGTCAGACAATGATAACTGCGTAACGAGGGGGTCGTAGAATGGGACTACCCCATCACAATAGCGATAGGCCTAATTCTTCATCGTCGTCAGCTACATCATCGAAAAATTTCATAAAATTTGCTGCAAGTGTGTAGCGGGTACCACGCTTCACCGAAGAGTGACGAAGGATGCCATAGTGAATGCCTTCACAATAACTGAATGCGAAGTTCACTGAAATTAAACACGTTTAAAGATGTGGTCATCTTCTTGCTGCAGACGCATGCATTAGCGCACCTTCGGTGCATTTGACGATGAAATAAATTAGACTCATTCACAGCAGTTGCACGGTTATTTATCTAGGCTGTTACCGATTTTGTCTTCGATTTGGCAATATTTTCGTGACAGTTTCTGAGGGGAATTCGCTTGCGCGTAAGCTTACTTTGTGTATAGCTTTTTTTCGCATTAAATTTAATTGCAAGTGAGCGTCTTTTCGGTGCTGTGTTCATTCTTCCCAACAAATTACGCGCATCTCTACGCAAGATAGCACTGGTCTGACTGTGTAAACGTAGGGTGGCCGACTTCGCGAAGCCCTTAAGGCCTGACCACTCGCGTAGCGTCAGCGCGTGTTCTGACACGGCACCGCGCCCTCTCCCAATGGGGAGTTCGAGCTCGCGGATAACCGAAGTTGCGCACCCCTCTCTCCACACGGGAGAGGGCTCGGCACCGCATCAGGAGGACAATTCCTGACGCGCTTCAACGCGTTCATGTGGTCAGGCCGTCATACGATTAGCCGCCCTACCGAACACGCAGGTGACTGCAACTTCGAGGAGGACACGTGCGGCTGGACTAACCCGCACCCGGCCGACGGCTTGGACGATCTGGACTGGACCCGACAGTACAGCTACGGGGTCAACGGTCCTCCCGCTGACCACACCAAGCGAAAACCGGACGGTCAGTGACCTTTGCCTATACATCACACTCTTTTGCTGAGAACGTACAACCCAATTCAGTTGCAGCGGGTCATTTCATTCAGGTTGCCAGTCAGGTAGCCATTCAGGTAGCCATTCAGGTAGCCATTTATCTAGCATCTGCGTAACGTCTGAACAAGTGTTCCAGACATGGAGGGGAGGGGAGAAATGTAGAGGGCGGTTGTCATCGAGAGGTTTTTTTTTCGTTTATTTCTTGGTGCTCACAGCATCGGAGACGCACTGAAGCGCGGAAACTTGCTCAGTTATGTGACTTCACAAGAGTGCTGGTGTTGCTTTCATCACACACATCCGTGCGCGTATACGTTCTTCTGTGCATCCATGCACTCGTCGTGAATAAAATTGTTCCGCAGTCGAAACTAAAGAAAAACAAATGGAAAGTTAGAGAGTGTCTAATCGGACGTTCTATAAAAAACCTAGAACTTTCTAACTGGAACTTTTCTCCTACCTTGTTTACTTAGGTAGTTAGTTATAAGAATCATTGCTTAATTAGGCAAGTGATACTCTGTGCAATTACCTATTGCCTTACCTATTACTGAATGAAACGCTCTTCCTCAATTCATGGCCATTTTTAAAAAATTAGTTTCCTTTCGAACGACTTTACGAACCAAAACGACCATACCTTTCTTATTAGCTCATCTGTTGGTTGACTTTTGGTGCGATATGCCACATTACTCGCTAGTTTTGAAGTTGGTCGCGCTTTTCTTGCATTTACTCTTATACTTCTGCACGTCGACCTTGTGTTGTTGCTTTGTATTATCATTGCATCGTGCTGATATTATTTGCACTGTCTTTCGCTAATTCTGAGATTACTCTTTTATTTATGCTTTTTGCTCATTCACCTTGTCCATTAACGTTTGTTGCCTTTGTCACAGCATGTTTTTTGTCACAGCATGTCGCCTTTGTCACAGCAGCTTGTTATTCCTCCCTACTTAATGCCCGATAGCAGACCCTCAGCCTTGGTAAATGAAATCTGTCGCTGTATACTTTCAGGGTACTACATGAACCTCGCCAGCTCGAGCCACCTGCCTCAGCGGGGCGGCTCGAAGGCGTGGCTTGTGAGCCCGAAGCTGGGGCCGGACAGCGCGCTTCCCCGGTGCATCTCGTTCGCGTACTACATGTTCGAGCGCACCATCGACCCGGCGGGCCCGAGCCTGGGCTCTCTGCGGGTGCACGTGCTCCGAGACGCGGCCCCGGGTCTTTTCTCTCTGCAGACCGTGTGGCGGCTCAACAACCACCAGGGCTCCCGGTGGCTCGTGGCCCGGTGTCCCATCAAGCTGCCCGACGGGAACCCCATCAACGAGGCCTACCAGGTACGCGGAAACCGCTACCGTGCATCACCACTCGAAACACGCATACACACAGAGATGTTTTGAGAGAAAGTAGTTTTCCTTTCTTGGGACTGAGTATGACAAATGAGCTCTACGAAATTTCGCAAGGCGAAGTGGGGTAGTAGCTGAAAAAGGAAAAATAATGTAGGAGGACGCTTGAGATGAACAACAACGAACGCCACCGAAAGATGTTGCCGAAAAAATGATAGCGTTTCGGCTCCACACAGGCCGAAGCGTTTAGCTCAGTAATCACTTCACGTCAGTAATCACGTCAGTAATCACTTCAGGCATCTTGCGTACGTAAGCGGTAGATTGTCGTCGTTACGAGTTAGCGTGTGTCCTGTCATTTTGCTTTCCCGTTCTTTGTGTCTTATCTGGGTTTGCTCTTGCGCAGGTGGTGCTCGAAGGCATCTGGGGCCACGGTAGGGTCGGCTACGTGGCAGTGGACGACGTCAGCTTCTTCGACGGCGACTGCAACAGTTGAGTGCAGACTTCTTGGAGGCTAAGTTTGCTTTTGCGTGGTTAACTCGAAGATGGCGTACAGTGCTTGTCCGCATCCGCAAGACAGCATGCTTTGCCGGTGGTGGCTAGCTGTCAGAGGAGTTCTTTGGCTCGAGCAAGTCTTCTCTCGATGGTCATAAACGTGTGAATGGCCCGCACGGATAGCCGTGAGGTGGCCGAGCAGACGGCCATCGGCATCGTACTCCTCGAAGATGACAAAGTTTAGGTGTACCGTGACTAAAAGGGGCAGTCTTATCCGTCAGTAAAATGAATATGCACCATGTTCTGAAATACAAGGACCACATAACACTCAGCACCTCACCACCCACTACCCGTTACGCATGCAACCCTTCCCGGGGTGGTCACCCAACCATGTTTGGTACATAGCTCGGCAAAAACTGGTGGAACTCACTCAGACTCACTCAAGAAATATATACTGAGCTTTGGGCTCACTCGGACACAGACCCGCCAGAATTTTCCTGACCCAAACTCACTCGGTATAGCTATCACGACAATTTTCTTCAACCGAAATTACTGCGACTAAACTCGCTAGAATATTATACTCACTCGGGCTTGCTCAGACTTGGACTATCGAATCGATCTGAGTCCGAGTGACGACTGATCAGTGAGTTCACCATCCTATGGCCCTAGCCCCCGGTTGTAGTCCTGGCCCGAGCTCTACACAGAGTGGGACCGATCTCTGTGCTGCTCGGACCATGAAGCAGGGTCTGCCACTTCGCGTCAAATTGGCTACCTTCCGAGTTCGGCGAGAAAAACTTTTAGCAGGCGTCATGGCTAGTTGCTCTACGTTTTCTCCACGCAATAGGGCTCCTGTTTTTTTAGGGTTGGGTACTTTTGGCTTGAATTCTGGCGCATTTTAAAGTCCAGCCAGAGGCAAACATGCTTTGAAACAGTTCTGTGCTGACCATCGGGACCGCGACGCGGTGGAGGGGCAAGGTATCTTTGTCCCGACGTGGGAGTGTCCCGCTGCTCGCTAAACACATGCATCGAAGGACTTGAATAAAGTTATCAGTCGATCCATACCTCCATACTGTGCTTGCGCTGAAAACGATCGACAAGCGAACGGAAATCCACTCAGTGCATTACACCAGTCGTACAGGTAAACCTAGGCTCTATGTTTTAAGTATGTAGCACTTTCAAGGGTCTGTATTAACATTCGTATACAGTGCCCTGCATCCATGCATACGTACCATGCATATTAATACATCCATACATACACATACCGCGGTGCTTACATACGTGTACAACAAACTTACATGCAGGTATTCAGTCCGCCATGGTGGAACAGTGGTAACGGTGTTCAGCTGCTGACCCAAACGTCGAGGTGGTCACATTCGGGTGGAGATGATGTGCCAGAGGCCCGTGTACCGTGCCATGTCGGCTCACGTTGAGAAACACGTGCATGCCCTATTCAAATCTATATAGGCAACCGACAGTGGTGCACAGGGCGCGACAAAGCTCTTTGGGCCGCCTCAGCATTGTTGGTACCGACCGCCAGAGATACTAAGAAAATGGAACGCTCGCTAACCACAGTGACACGCTGAAGTGTCAGTGCCCTTTTTAGCACATTTTCAAAGACGCTTCCTGGGCGCCTACATAATCAGCAGTGACCCCCTTGCTCACAACTAAAGAAGAAAGTGATATGCACGCGCAACTTCGGTTTCGCTGCGTCTACTCCACGGTGCGAGAATTTTTAGGTGAGCGAACGACGCGGAGAGAGCGCTTTGTGGGGAGAGACGGATTGTGTACTCCTTCTTCTCAGTGCCGAGAGGTGGCGCGCCAAACTCAAGACCAGGTGCAGGACGCTCCAGCTGAAAAGTCAGAGCATGTGATAATCGCCGGGGACTCGAATTTAAATTGATGCACAGAAGACATCAAAAAGAGGGTAAGAGGTGACAAGAGGGTTGCAGTAGGGGCGTTCCCAGGATGCAAGCTTGAAGCAGTCATGAGGCAAGCGAGCGCAAAACTCAAAACTACAGCTGATAGACGAAACCTCGTGATAATTTCAGGCGGTTTAAACGATGTCTTAAATGAAGATACAGCGGGACTTGCAACTACACTGGCGAAAGGCGTCGATGACATGCGCACCACTTCTCCTAAGGTACAGGTAGTGATATGCACGATACCGGAGGTACCGGTGCGTGATAGCAACCTGCAAAGAGCGGTTGTCAACGCAAACCAAGAGATATGGCGGATGAGTCGAGAGAAAGGCTTTGAGGTGGTGGAAATAAACAGAGAGGTGCATAGGTGGGGTGGTTTTCAACGAGACAGAATTCACTTCGATGAGCAGCTAGGTCATGAGGTGGGTTGGCGACTTGCTGGACGCGCAGTAGCTTTTTTGGGGGCAAGCGAGCCCTTCGGGGTGCAGGATAGCTAGTAACGAGGAAAACAACCAGGGAGACTCTTTGACAGGTGGTATGTACAGATACGATTCCAAAGTGGCACCAGCATCTAAGATAGGTAGAGTCCGGGGCATAAATAGACGTAGCCACGAGCACCCAGCCAATTCAGACATATGGTATATTAACAAGCAGGGTGGTAGGAACAGGCTGAAGTGGGAAGAGATAGAAAAACAGCTTAGGGAAGAGAGGCCGATAGTATACGGTTTTGTAGAAACACATCTCAGGTACATGGAACAACCTCCGAAGAATCCGGACTACGCGTGGGAATATTGTATTAGAACAGAAGGCAGCAGAAAGGGGGTGGTATAGGGCATTCATTCATAAAAGTACAGACTGGCAAAGGGTCGAGCAGGAGTGCAAGGAACATTTATGGCTAAAATGGAAAGTGGCAGGTCAAATGACACTCCTTGGTTTCGTGTACTTGTGGACGGCAGCAAAGGCCAGCGATGAAAACCAGGCAATGGTAGAGTGTATATCAAAGGACATTCAGGAGTTAGGAAGAGAGTGCGAGATAATTATACTAGGAGACATGAATACGCACATAGAAGATATAGATGGGTACACCGACCCGACAGGCAAAATGATCATGGATATGTGTGAAAGGCTTGATTTGATCATTTGCAACAGTACCGAGAAGTGTGAATGGCAAATAACATGGGAGGTAGGAAGGCTGCAGTCGACGATAGATTATGCACTGATGTCACATAAGATGTATGATAAGCTCAGGGGAATGCACATAGATGAAGGTGGCTCCAGAACTCTGGGTAGTGATCACAAACGTATCAAGCTAAGTTTTGGAAGAGCAGTGAAAGTGGGAAGGAGACAAGATGAGCAACTACAGGAAAAATTTTTCCAGAAAGGCAAATTGAAATAGCCACTAAACAAATTGAGAAAGTAATCACGGAGGATAATAAGACAGTGTGGACATACACGAATCTAATTAGACTCTTTGAGCTAGAGCTAGCTTGCTAAGACGCGTGACAAGTTACCCATGAAAAGAAGACACAAACCCAAACTTTGGTGGGATGAGAAAGTTAAGAGAGCCATAGCAAAACGTCAGGAAGCCTCTAGGGAACAATGCTAAGCAGCGGGGTGAACCGATAGATGATGTTGAAAGAAAATGGGAAACCTTTCTAAGCTGTAGAAGGAATGCATCCCTTCTGATCAATGAAAAGATTAGAAGAAAGGGAGCTCAGTGGCTGGCAGAAGTACATAAAAAAAGATAGAAAGGCAGCTGCGAAATTTTGGAACCATCTAAACTCCGTAAGAAAGGAGACGAGCCTAGAGCAGAGTTTTATAAATACAGCCCAAGGTGCTAGGCTAGAAGGGGACGAAGCTATTGAATATATAAGAACAAGGGTGACAGAAAAATTTCAACAAAGAAGTACTTTATGCACCACAATAGACAAGGACGAATCAAGTGGTGCAATGGCTCCATTTTCACAACGAGAGTGGGAAAGGGCTGACAAAAGGGTTCCTAGTAGTACATCAACAGGCACAGATGGCATTCCACTTATGCTGATAAAGACATTAGGTCCGAAGTCTAAACAGGCTTTGAGAGAGGCAGTGAGCAAAATAATAATCGATGGTGAAGTTCCCGATGGATGGAAACTTAGCAGGATGAGCATGATCTATAAAGGAAAGGGGGACAAAGCTGACATAAACAACTACCGTCCTATAACAGTGACATAATGCCCTCGGGCCTTGAGGGTAACTGAATAAATAAATAAACATCAGTGGTCTACAGGCTGGCGATGCAGATTATAAAGGAAAGACTGCAGGCATGGATAGAGGATGAGGGGGTGCTGGGGGAACTGCAGAATGGGTTTCGAAAACACAAGAAGTTGGAAGACAATCTGTTCTCACTGACGCAGTGCATCGAAATGGCAGAAAAGGAACACAGGCCCCTGTGGCTAGCATTTTTGGATATCAAGGTAGCGTACGATAGCGTGGTTCAAGAGGAATTGTGGGGAATACTGGACACACTAGGCGTGGAACATGTAGTCACTAATCTTTTAAAGGATATCTATAAAGGTAACAAGGTAGTTCTAAATTGGGAAAAACAGGTATCCAAGCCTGCAGAGGTAAAACGGGGGCTTAGCAGGGGTGTCCCCTGTCACCCTTATTATTCATAATGTACCTACAAGGATTAGAGGCCAAATTAGAGGGAAGTGGACTGGGCTTCAACTTTTCTTTCGTCAAACAAGGAAAACTAATTGAACAGGCACTACCAGCATTGATGTACGCAGATGATATAGTGCTAATAGCCGACAACAAGGAGGACTTGCAGAGGTTGATGGACATCTGCGGTAATGAGAGAGATGGGTAAGATTTTAGATTCAGTAAGGAAAAATCAGCAGTCAAGATTTTCAATGACAATGAAGGGAGTGAGCTTAGAATACAGGGGGTCATGCTAGAGATAACAGAGAAATACAAATATCTGGGCGTGTGGATAAGCAATGGGACCGAGTACCTAAAGGAACACGTAATATACGTGACGACTAAAGGTAACAGGAATGCAGCAGTGATGAAAAATAGGGCACTGTGGAATTACA